CACTCATTCGCAACGGTATAAGAAAGAACAGTCGTCTAGGTGGGGCCAAGAAGAGCGCTGTAGCAGGAGCAGTGGGGGCAACTGAGGGTACACGGGGCAAGCATTACATTGCGCTAGGAGGCATAAGCTGTCTGTTCAAGAAGGAAATCCTCCCGTACAAGAAGTACGAGATGTGGACAAGACTTCTGTGCTGGGACAAGAAGTGGTTCTATCTCGTCACACACATGGTCAAGCCTGGCGTGGCACAGCCAGAGAGCTGGACACTGCAGCCCTGGAAGAAGTACAAGCCAGCCAAGGACGTTGACACAGAGAAGCTCAAGGGTGCGATATATGCCACTGCGATTGCAAAGTATGTCGTCAAGCGAGGCAGGATCACGGTACCACCGGAGCATGTGTTGGTCGATGCCGATATGGTCCCCGCAAAGCCAGAAGGCTGGGTCTACCAAGAGGGTATAACCGAAGAACAAGGGCCGAATGACGATGTCCTGCCCAAGGCTGTAGAGGCGAAGGATTGGAACTGGGACGTTATCGAGGCAGAGCGACTAAGGGGCTTGAAGGTGGCCGAGCACTTTGCGGCTATGGACGGCATGCATGAGTTCTTTGATGGCGGCAAGGAGGGAGTTTTGGGAGAGTTCGCGGATTTGCTGTACTGATTTGGGTTCGATGTGACTGGGCCTAGGAGAGCTTGATACCCTAGATTTGGATCTTAGAACCGCGAGGCTACTGCATCGCTGGTCTTGTCTTGAATACAATCATTTAAAAATATCCTCTCGTGGGGTAATAATCTCACCCGCATTCACGAGGCACCTGGGCAGTGTCGCGGATAGCGGACACTAGCGTCGCGCTAAGCCACTGGGACCTGCAGTGCCAGCCAACCTCGAGCCCTGTCTTTGACAATCACCGGTCACCACATGCGGTGGGGGCCGTATTTCACTCTGGTTCAGCCTTGTGGCTTCCAGCTTTTGATCTCTCCATGCGACTAACTATGTCCACTGACCAGCAGGGCACAGGTCATCACAAGCATTCCACCCGATACATTGCTTTGGCCTGCTACAAGCACGCCCGATCGGGTTCAGCCTGGCACTCACGACACGCGCATTTCGCCCACCATTGACGTTCAGGTTCGCGATATTCTCATCCAACCGGTGCTTCAGCAGTCATGGCCGCGACGTCAAACCTTGCCGCACATGGAGCAGGCCCTGATATGATCTATATCGGAGAGCTTTACGAAAGCATATCGCGTAGTCCCCCAGGTATAGAAGCCAGGAAGCTGCTTATCGAACATTACATCGCAGTCGGCAATGAATGGCTGGAAGGTGCATTAGATGAGGCCAAGAAGCTCCAGGCTTTAGCTCCAACAGACCCGGATGTCGCTAGGTTCTTAAAGATTCTGGAGAAAGTACCAGAGCCTCCAGCGCCCGAGAAGAAGGCAGTCAAACCGATACACGCATCTTCAGCGCAGTCCGGAGGCGAACCCTTGAAGAACTATCCATTCACGACGAAACCAATATCGAAACGTGGATCCAAGCGGTCGGACTTCATCTTAGGCGAATCAGTAGATGACCTAAACGACGAACAACGGAATCTGGTTACTGGTTATCGTGATATACGTGCCAAAGCAACACATGTATTTGCGAATCTGCTGCGTCTACAGACCCTCCAGAAGAAGGCCGGCTTACCCCAATCGAAGAACCTCGCTAAAGTCCATCTCATGGCGGATGGAAGTAACGGGGCCGTCTACAGTGGAATGCGCCCACCAGCAAGTGCTCGTTCTGTGGCGCGAAACATCCGAGACAAACCAAAAGAGGCTACGAACCTGGTCATCGCAGATCTGGAAGCCATGATTCAATGGGTGCGCGCGCCATATGGCACACTCTCGGGCGCAAGTATCGATACCATTCGTGATACTCTAGTCAAACGCCGAAGCGCCGTCGATTCAACGCTCCCGGATGCGCTCAAATTTCATTGCGAGCTTGGTTTTATGCACGTCGAACATGAGCATCTGGAAAGGAACTACGTCAATGACGAAACCATGCTTGGAGATGAGATAAAGGACATCGCCAGAGAGGACTTCTATGTGACCGAGGACAACTATGCGTGGTCGATGGATGGTATGTGACTTCTATGTATGGACTACGATGAGACCCATACTAACTTTGTGCCAACCTTAGAGCTTGTTCAGGCTATCCAGGCAAATGGCGGCGTACTCCGCAATCCTCTTAGCAGAGAAATGTTTACTCCGAAAGATGTCAAGGGGATTCTCCTGCACCCGACAGGCAAGTCTCTCGCAGCTCTACGAGTTGAGCAGCGCGAGATGTCCAAGGGCGTGCGAACGGAAACAATCATACAAATGGAGAAGCTCTCAGCGATCTTGCTAGCAGATCAAAGTAGCGATACGCTCCCCAGTCGCAAGGCAGTAGACGAGTTCCTCCTATACATTGCAACACGTAGGTCTTCCTTCGGCACAACGACGACCAACAGGCTAATATATGAGCAGTACCAGATCTTGAGCAAAAAGCGATCGAAGGTCTCAAGTGTCCTGCCACAGACTCTCACACTGGACAGTCTTATGACTGGTCTATTGGCGAAGCAGTGAAGGATGCGAAAGGAAACCTTGTGTGTTTTCACAAGACAGGCGACTTCATTCGGCAAGCCGCTGCGCATCTGCGGAAGAATCGTGGTGTCGCTCCCGACACCGACGAAGGTAATTGTTCGATCATGTGATATCTTGTAGCAGCTTCATGGTCTCAAATCGGGACTCTCCATGCGTTTCGCATTAGCAGTCCATTGCGTTCTAGGGGTAACAACATCCACAAAAGGTCGTCAGTGGTTGCAACAACGTCTGCTACCCTCAGGCACATTTGCGGCTGAATCAGGCTGTTCCGGGCGCCGTAGTCACGAATCCTTAGATCACACAATCCTACAAGGCATTTTCATACGCCAATTGCTCCACAACTTTGCCAGATAGCTTTCGTTGACCATTCCTTACATTAGATTGCCATTTTCGTCGCCTCGCTTACCGCTGTCTCGTACCATGGTTAGCCTACACAGTCGCAATCGCACTAGCCGTTTCGGGGGCCGGTGAATGTGCTTTCCGTATAAGCCACCCTGTTCAGCCTTGTGCGCAGCCCCAAATTCTCAGTCTGGGCAGTAAAAGGCCACCCATCACATGTGAGCTATACCAGACGCCATGTATCTTTGCCGTAACATCCACTATGCGCCTCCAAGATTTGATGTTCCTCTTCCCTCATCAGCCGACGGTCTATTGGCCGCACCTCTTTGAACATTACCAACCCTATGCTACCTAGGTACTCTGGGTCCCACTATCCTCGTGCGTTCCCAAGGAAAGCGCGACTCTGGTACAGATCCCCATTGTACCAAATTCAACCCCTGCAATTTGCTCGAAAGTTCTCGTGCTTTGTTGCCGGTAACTGATACCCACGACTCTCTTAATACCGACCGTTCGTAACGCGACTCGAACTAGCCGTCCCATCTGTATCCATTTTTTATCATCTCACCCCTGGCGCAGGGTCATTCCTCATAAACGTATGACAAGCATGGCCACCGCCGTCATGCCTCCTACTGCAGTCGAGCAGGATACCGGCAAACGCTCCCATATGTCATGGGCCAAAAGAGCCATACCGTTGAAGAGTACGACGATCTTCAAGAAGACCGATCACAGTCAAGAATGGCATGCGGAGGTGGAGGCCACTGCTGGGGCCCTACACCCCTCACACCGTCGATTTCCATGGGGCTTCATCCGCAATCACACCGATACCTATCTCAAGAAGAAAGGCAAGATCAGTCAAGAAGAGACGGATAGGAGGCTTTCGATGTTGGTTCAGACACACCCGGCAAGAGATGTCGCTATAGCTTCCGTAGCGCATGCTATGTCCGTGGAGAACCTGAGCCAATTACTACGAGCTGAAACGAACGTTATGTGTGGAAGCTATTGGGGCCTCGACACTTGGCTACAGAGCGTGATCGCTGCGCATGAAGGGAACCCTGCCTTGGTAACACGTCTGCAAGCAGAATGGGCACGCGCGCTCTTACCCTATGCGACCACAGGCGCCAGTGCAGCCGGCTACTATCTGAAAGGCGTACAGCGAGCCTTGCAGAATTACCAAACCCATAATACGGACGTCGATCTACACAATTTCGCGGTGCTCTTACGACGAGCTATAAAAGATTATGCGGAGCAGCTGAATGGCTTCCGGTTGACATGTAATTGGGTAGCAGCTAAGAAAGCAGTAGACTGGATGACGGAACTGGACGTGTCGTCGTCTTCGGATTCACCTTGTACCAACATAGAATCTATCTTCGATCGCCACCACTTCCCAGCCTGGAGAATGTGGGCCTCTTGGACACCGGATGTTGATCGTATCACGCGTTTCTCTAGGATAGACACCATTCACATGTCGACTGTCCTCGACGTCGCGGCTCTGGAAGGACCTGATATGATCACAGGTACTAAGCATACCTTACGTCAGGGTTTGATAGCGGACTATGGCGAACAAAGGAACTGGGTACACTACCGCGGCCTGATCATCGAGGTCCCTGAGCACACAAAAGCATGTTTAGCGACCATCTTAGAAAGACTTGTGGTAAGGTTGGATGCTGTCTCCACTTCGCTGCCCCAAGGCGAAAGCCTCTTCAATCTGTTTCGAGCATTGACTATCGGCGGAACAATTACGAAGAGCAGCTTGGATCTTTTCGACGCTTCGTTAGAGATTGCATGTACACCGGAGAAAGATAATCATGCCTTCATTCGCGAACTATGGTCCGAGAAGGAGCAAATCGGCGGACTCCATGTCCACGCTCTTCAACAACTCCTCCATCTCCTCGACGCACCAAAAGCGACGGCTTTTCGCGAGCTTTTCCTCCAAGATTGGCTATTCGAGGGGATTGGAGAGTGCTTTCGCGAGTGCCAATCTGTCGTAAGGAATCAGATGAAGACTTCGGCTTGGTTACGCCTTCTACTTGAGCTACACACATTTTGCATGGCCGTGAAAGCATCCGAACATATATTCCCGCAACTGAAGCCTGCTGTCCGAGCGAATATCGGCGCATGGCCCAGCTCTAAACGAATGACATCGATCAAGGAGATATACGTCGCCGCCCAAAATCTACATCAAAACGAATTGCAGACAAGGCACACGTTCGTCTGGTTCGATCCTGATACCTCGACTGAATCCCTCTTATTCGCATCAGATGCGAAAGATCAAAAATCACGGCACGCACTTGAAAACATCATCGAGAAACACTGTGTCGACCACCTGCTTACTGCCGAAGTATCTTGCGACAATACCGAGCAAATATTGCGTGATATCCTTGAAGTCTGGGAGAATACCGGAGAAAGTGTGGATGATGTCGACCGGCGCATGCTAGCTATAATGGTTTCAAGAGATATCGACAATCCTTCTGGACACAAGTGCGAATGTATCTATGAGCTCGCAGTAGATCTCAGCTTGGGTCGATCTTCTTCTTTTGTCCGAGACATAGTGCGTATCGTTCGTGTGCAGGAGACGGACTCACGGCAAGCCATCATTGCTTTGACGAACACCCTGGCAGCACGGGAAGGTTGCAAAACATGTTGGAGAGGGGTCTTACTAAGATGGCTGAACCAAAGTGAGAAGCAAGAAGCGCGATGGGGCACTGCCATCATCGACCACTTGATCCAAACCATGGATCCTGCGACATGGCTCTCCTTCATGCAATCATTCGAGAAGATCTTCGCCGACATCATTGCCAATCACACCAACAAACACGAGTTACCGTCTCTACTGCGGCCCCAGGTTTTGACTTGGGTATCAGAAGTAGCAAAGTTCGGGCCCACCTTAACGAAGCTCGAAGAAGTGTCCGACAGTCCATTCGCAGTACGTCGAATGTTATCTTGTGGTACCGAAACACAAAGGAGACATAATCTCGCCATGCTTTCACATCTCCAAAAAGCGGAAGGGAATTCAGCCGAGAGGATTATGCAAAACATTGTAATATGGATATCCGGTCGAATATCAGATATGCGCGAGGTCATTGAGTATTTATCTGAACTACTGAACGCGCCATATGAGGCTATAGAAGCTTGCAACGAGATTTGGGATGCGAGATGTGGATTTCTGGACATACCTGGTCTTCCTACTCACGAGCAAGCTGGTCTTTCTCGGATCGTCTCGAGAGATGTTGTCTACTACGACGGCGCGTCCAAACAGCACAAGATCATGACGCAACCAGACTCATTGACGCCAAAGAAGAAGAAACCCCTTCAAACAATTGCCAAGCGAAGATACGACATCCCACTAGCTGTGGCTGAGGTCATGGTTGCTGGTTGGATACAAGATGACGACGTAGCAGCAGAGACGAAAACGATCATCGAACGCCTCGCTCAGCTACTCAAGTTGAAAGTATACAAGCAGACCATCCCTCAAGCCACGCTCTCTAAAGCAACAGAATTCTGGGATAGCATCGAAGCAGAGATCATGCAAGAAGCCGAACGCCTCGAAGGGCTAAAGCGAACACTGAAAGCGAAAGACCCCTTGCAGACAGCCTTGCTGATCGAGGAGTACAATATACCCGATAGCAATCTGCTGGAAGATGAAATACAAGAACTACCTTCCGGCATCATCGATCTAGTTGAACTAATCGATGATGACGAGATTGAGATGAGCTTCACACTCGCTTCCTACACTGAGCTACAACGAAGCGCAATGGGCGTACCGAGCACAGCGAACAACCTTCTCTTACGGCTAACCATCGATCGGTATGGGAGCAAGCCACCCGCGTTCTGTGTGCACTACGACAGTGACAAGGGTATAGAGACTGATCAACATTTCCCGTGGATCTGTGTTGCAACTTCCAATGCACCACACGGTAATGTGTGTTTCTCGAAGCAAACTGTCTTCGTATGGCAGATGAACAGGCATATCCATCGGTACCTTCGCGCGGGGAACGTATCGTTAAGAGGGCTGTACGGCCTCGTCCAGACTATGATCGGAGAAATGGGGCAAAGATGCATCTCCTGCGGCTGCCGCCACAAAGGGAAGAACACGCAACTGCGGAGATCTACACCATGTTGGACTGTCGCATGTCAACTGCTATGGTAAGCCATCACCGAACAGAAAGCGTCATTAGTACAATCACTAACCACCGCCAACACAGGTACGCCCTCCCCATCGACGTCCGCATCCCCGAAATCCGCACCGATATCTTCGCCGTCGACATGCTCCTCAGCTCCGTCTACAGCGCCGCCATGGCCAACAAAACCGAGCTCCTCCCCAATTGTCCCATCCACCCTATCAGCACCGTCAAAACCATACTCGATAGTCTCCCCAAACTGTCCGTCATCCGCGACGCAGTCCATATCTCCACCGTCCTATCCAGATACCACGCCGACGCTGAGAAGCTCATCTCATGGGCATGTACGCACTATAGAGGCTATATAGCTACAGCGAACGGTCTATGTAGGATCAAGAATCTGCCTATGGGGACGCATCATTTTGTCCTGGCGAATGCGAGTCCGGCACTGGAAACGGCATATATGGCAAAATTTCCGAGGCCTTCTACGCAGACTACAGTACTATTTCACGGTACATCACTCGACCGCCTCCCAGCAATCCTCGCTAAAGGTCTAATCGTCTGCTCGGGTACGACTCTTCAACGCACGGGCGCTGTGTACGGAAGGGGTATTTATATGGCTGAAGATCCTGCGACGTCGTTTAGTTATGCGCCTGTCTACTCGACTTGGAAGAATAGTGCGCTGGCTAATATGCGTGTTATCCTTGGGTGCGAGGTCGTTGGGCAGGGAAACAGCGTTACCACCGGTGTTCATGTTATTACCGATGAGGCGAGTGTGATGGTGAGGTATATCTTGCTCTTCCGACAGAACGCTCATGCGCCTGTTGCGAATCATGTTGTTACGGCTATGAAGAGTGCGATGGCGGCGATGAGGACGGGTGTCGTGTAGTAGAGGTGGCGATGCGGTAAATTGGTGCAACGTATATTTTGCTTGGAGTGACAGCATGTCATTGAACCATAATAATAACGTTCGTCTTTCGGGCGGACTTCGTTTTGACGTTGCGGTATTGCCACGCCGTTGTGAACCTTTTCTGCGTCGGATAAGGATGCACCCGGTAGCTGCTGACAGGAACGTAAACTTCAGCCCTATCTATTTTAACCCTGCCCAGCGATGTCGGGCTTCTTGGAAAAGTCGGCAATCCAATTTTCACGGCTTGTTCAACCATTTCCGATCTTTTGACCGCGTGTTGGACAAATTTGGTGGTGTGGTGAATTAATGTTCTGTTTGCTGATGCAAAATAAATTGTGGTTCTAGCGAGGCGACGAACAGCACCACCTGCCCCATCAACATGCCCCCCCACGACGCGGATGACACGGCATGTTCACATCAGAAAATTCAGATTCAACATCTACCTGGTGCCCTTTTCCACGGGTATCAGAGAAAATACGAACTATGTTGTGCGCTGGTCGCTACAAGGTATGGCATAGCATAGCACAACACAATACAGCGTATCTGAATATCACCGATAACTCTAAGAGACACATTACATCATTACATTGCAATATGAAGATTTCTGTCATTCAGCATCCGATCTGTAAGAGGTGGATTAGGTGCAGCGGGTATGCTTGGCAGCCATAGCGGATAAGACGGCACAATGCTTGTGATTGACACATGGTCTTGTACCAGAAGCCACATTCATGGCAGAGCCAAGTCGAAACCCCCATATTTCCATGCAATCCTTTACTGAAGTCAGCAAGTACTCAATAGTCTGATGTTAAGCCAAGTTTGTCAGTGACAACACAGCATCCTACAGTGAAGGATTATAGACTTGGCGCAAATAAGACCTAACGCACGCAAGAATATAAAGAGATATGAAGTAGAGTAGCGCAAAGTAACACATGATGTAGTCTAATTAAGAAAAGTAACAAGACAAAGTGGCCAAGAAGTTGCACAGACAGGAGATGTATGCTGTGTGGTACACGGTCTCCGCCGAGGCTGGTGTGTCCGCACAGAGCTACTTGGCAGCGGAGGACAAAGACATATAATCTGCTGACACACTGTTGGGAGAGGAGAAGGAACACATGTACTACTGAACGCTTGGCTTCCCCACGGAGGTGGACTGTGTATACTCTGGGGTAACTGCACTACTGGTCACGGAGTTCTGCTGGTGATGGCTCGCGCTGACACCAAGACGACGTCGAGGTGGCCACTACAATGAATTGTAAAAGATGGTAGCCGGAATGAACGGTTGTGTGTGTTCATCAAGAACGATATTGAGGTTGAGCTGCATCATATCCTGGAAAACCAATTTGGACGTCCGCGGCTCGGATAGTCCCGCGAGGGAAGCCAAGGCAATGTCAGAAATGCCGCACCCAAGTGCAACACTTGGAGAAGCTGGGCATACTTTGTCTAAAGTAAGGTGCGGATGGTGAACGATAATGACCCGGGCATGAAGCCATGAAGGAATATGCCCAGGCGGAGAAGGAGGAGAGGCGCACGGCGGACACATTGGATCGTCGGGGGTGTGTGTTCCCAGTGCCAAGGGCGATCTACACAGATCCGTTGCTGACGCAAAATTGATCTGCTACTTGGCGGGCCATCAAACCCATCTGGGGGTGCAACGAGCATAGATTACTTGTGCGCTTGCCCAGACGGGAGAACATGTTATGGCCTCGTGACGATGGTGAAGTAGGCTCTTGGTATGTGATACAGGACCGGTCACGGAAACTCTCTCCACCAGGGGACCGACGCACCGGAGCCAAAGCGACACTTGAACTGGTCGCGCATCAAGGTCTCGCAGAGCTGGCGCCAGTCAAGCGATAGTTCCTGGGCGGTAACATCGATGGCTGGTGAAGGCAGGCGGACGCTCTTTAATTGGTCATCAAAAAGCACAAAGTGGGCTTGCTTGAGCAAACGGTTGCGTTCGGCGTCTGCGACAGCGCCGGGATGGAAGAAAACCTGAGTGAGGCGGCTCGTCAGGTCTACCGTCCCTGCATATGGCCGGCGCAAGGATGGCGTGTCGTTCACAGTTGCCGGTGAAGATAGTTTCAGAACAAGTCTGGCCTTGGAGCTAGCGGGGACAAAAGACGAGGGCTGGAAGCGAAACGACGGCAACTGCACGCGGAAGGTGTGATATGGGGATTGTGTATCACAGCGAAGATCAGGAGGACTGGCATGGTGAGTGAAAGTTTCCCGAGCAGCGCAGGGTGAAACGCGGCTTACAGCAAGTTCCATAGCGTCTGTCCAGCGAAGCGAAGACTGCAGGTACGCGAGACGATGCGCGCGAAGACATCTTGCGCGACATGAGCCAGAAAGGGAGATATCTGGCGCAGCACGAACCAGGCGAAACAGAGATCGTCTATATACATGATGATAATGTGCCATATCTCGACCGGTAAGTCTTCAGGCGACATGACACGCACATGGCGTTGCAATGCGCGTGACGGTCGCGGACCGACAGCGGTATTGGCGGTGGGGGTTGGCGATTCAGGGCTCGGGGCAGACATAGAGAGGTTAGTGTCGGCAGCGGCGACAGATCACGTGTCCGAAGTAAGCCTTAGCTTTAGTATTTCTTAACTATAAGAACTTAAAAAAATCTTAACTTAATAACTAAAGTATACTATAGTTATATACTACTAATACTTAGATAGAATAGAAGTATAAAAACTTTATACTTATATATTATTTCTTCTTCTTTTATTTTTATCTATATACTTTAAGATAGTAATAATAATAATAATTACTTAATAAGCTACTTATACGCTACTATTATTATATTTTAGTAAGTTTAAATATATTAGATATAAACTTACTAACTTTTATAAATAAAAGCTAGTAGAACTTACTACTATATATATAGACGCTATTAATTACGCCTAAATAAGTATACTTTAGATAGTTACTTTAAGTATAATAGCTACTATTTTTATTTATACTAATATCTTTATTAACTCTAATATTAAGCTCTTTATACGTAAAGAGCTATAAGCTTTTAAATAACTTTATAAGAGAGTTTTTACTAATAGTACTACTTTTAGTAATATACTAATTATTACTAAGCTTATAGTATAAGGTAGAAAAGTATTAAATTAAGTAAGATATATTTTAGTTTTAATTTAAAGAAAGATAATAGAGAGATTAATAGTATAGACTAGTAATTAATAAGCCTATAGGCGTGCACTAAACGTCTTCTGCAGCATAACATCTAGCACAAGCGGCGACAGAGGGTGATATTTGTGGGTGCGATGATTATTCCCGCACTCGTTCTAGAGGCTGAGGCAATGCGGTGAGGCTCACTGGTGTACCGGCGAAGCATCGGCAGTCGCGCAGCCAAGGGAGGCGAGAGCGAGCCACAGGCAGGACGTCACGTGGCGCGCCGACGCGGCTTCCTCGTTGGGAAGGCCTTCCTCGGTCTGGAAAGAACTGGGGCGCGTTGGCGCATCCATGCCTGCAGCCTCACGACAGCCAAGTCATCTCGGTCGCGATCCAAATTCAACAGACAGGACCCTGCGCAACGTCGTGTGTGCGTAGCATCGCAACGGCGCCATGGGACGTGTGGAGTCGCAGATAGCATGTATTGTATGACCATAACATGGGGTGTAATTGGGAGCCGTTGGCCAGGCGACGCTGGGCGGCTGGGGGCCTCTGATTCGGCCGATATGGTCGGGTGGTGGACAGCTAAGGCTGATTCGAGGCAGGCCCCGAGACGCCCCTTAGCTGCTTGGCACGTGCTTAATCATGGAGTGCGGTCCTTTGTGCAGAAGCGGCGGCGGTCGATTACGCGGGGGGCAGAAAACAATTGCTTCATCTGGGCATGCTGGTCGCGCGCGCTGCATGGGGGGAGTCGGATATTATGGCGCGGCGGCTGCAGTTGAGGGAGTTGGGATAAGTGGCATATCTTGGTTCGTGGGTCTGGAAGGCCGCTAGAAGAAAATTGTGCAAATGCGAAAGTCGGAAAGTCGCGCAGGCAGCGTGGGGAGCAGTCTGGATACGCGGCTCTCTCGTACGGGGGGAAAATGCCTCGCACTCTGGCTGAGATCGCGCCAAGCACTCAAGCTTTCCTGCGTGTGAGTGCTGAAGCTTGGTGCGTCCGGAGTGAGCAAGGTGCGTGGAGGAGCTGTTTGCCGGTCGCTCTTGCCAAACGTCATGGGAGCTGATCCCTGCAGCGCTGCACGCTTGTCGCGGACTGTCGCGCTATCTCCAGCTTAATCTCTGCTGCCGCTGGTGGAGAAGCAATGAACCGCGCTGCGAATCGCGACGCCGGCTGCTGACATCCCAATTGCTGTCGGCTGGTGGCCGTCGAGGTACCAGAGTCTGCGCACACAGCAACCGCAGTCGCAGCCGTACAGCATCGTAGTAAGCACTCCGTCATCAGCGCATCACGCTCGGCCGGGCGCTGCGACGGCCAATCTCTGCGCCATGTCGCGCGCCGATGATGTAGCGGCTGGCGCACGGGCCGCTCACAACAAATTCACCCCCGGGACTCTCGGCTCGAGCTAAGCTCCATCCGCGGTTAGCTTTATGACAATCATAAATCCCTCATAGCGGCCAAAGGTCGGTCCTTGCTGAGTTTTTCCCTGGGTTGATACGTGGGTGAGTTTCTGCCGCGCTACTTAA